CTCTCAAATTGATAAAGATATACAATAATAAATTCAGTTCTTTGTAAATGTGATGAAGGATCATACATTCTGAAGATATTCTTGTTAGATTGTACTTAAAAACAATTATAATTCCACCCAAAATTCTATTTCTTTGCAAGTTTGCGATGTATATTATATATTTGAAAATTGCAGTGCTTCCACTTTTTAACTTCCAATTAGAGAAAATTCCTTGAAAATTCCTTAAACTTTCCATAAAATAAAAAAATAAATTCATGAACCATTTTTTCAGAATTAATTCGAACCTTGCTATGCACTTTAAGATTTTTAAGTAGACAATAATAATTTGCTTATCATGGTGCAAGCTAATCAAATATGACATGCATGCATTAGCATTTTAACATTCAGGCCATCTCTACGTCCATGCATGTACAGAGCTATGATAAATTTATAACTTCTTATATTGAAAACATGCAAGATCTGGAAATTTATTCCTGGATTATTGTAACGGATTCCTTTTATACATGTATCAGGTATTTAGCTGTTAGTAAACATTGTCATTGACCTATATATAAGTTTCTAAATAACTTAGGTTTTGTGTTAACAAATAAATACTTTAAATTTAATTTGCAGTTACTAGCGGGAATTCCAAATTGTTTTACGTCTATTTCTAATGGTTATATATGTGGTCGATCTTCATTAAAGAATGGCTTGTTCACAAACAAACGTCAACTAGAGCTGGAACAATCTTAAGCTAAGTTACTGTATAGATTAAACTTTCGTTTTACCAAAGGCAAAGCTGTGGAAAATTAAACCTTTCAGCAAGGAGTTTCTCCACCTGACTAGCAAAACGAAACATTTTTATGTTGCATGCATGGTATTGTATACAATATACATCATTCCATGTTAAACCTGTTCAGCAAAATTTAGAACCGAAGTGTAAATTCTAAAAACTATAGTTCTGTTCAGGGATTTCGAGAAAATTTTAGGAGTTCCCTCAAGGAAAGAAGCCGACTGCGCGAATATATAGCACAGCTGACCAGTTAGTTCAAGACGCCAGACGACTATTACTGCTATATATGACATATATAATCAACCATTTGCAAACTGAAGAAGATTATTGTACAATTCTAATGCTTCTCTCCAGTGGGTTGGTTTCTGTAATCCAGCAGTAGTTACTATATTGTCAATGGGCCACCGTATTTAAATGATTTAAAAGCGTTCTTTTTGAAATTTTTATCCCATGATTTCTTTCGAGAAAACTCAAAATTGTATTGTAGTCGTAATTTAACGAGAAATAATGTCGAATTATAGTTTCTTCTTGCTCAGCATCTGCCATTTTAAAATAATTTGGCGGGATTTTTGCGTTAATCTGCGTTAATACTGGTCAGCAGTTTGATTCATAAATTAACATATTAGTGTATTGTGTTTTGGTTTAGTGTATTGTTTTGGTTTAGTGTATTGTGTTTTGGTAGTGTGTATTGTGTTTTGGTTTAGTGTATTGTGTTTTGGTTTAGTGTATTGTGTTTTGGTAGTGTGCATTGTGTTTTGGTTTAGTGTATTGTGTTTTGGTAGTGTGTATTGTATTGTATTGTATTGTGTTTTGGTAGTGTGTATTGTGTTTTGCAGTTATGGGCCACCATATGGGACATCAGATTATCGGAAGCTAAGCAACATATGACTACTGCACTAGCAATTATTAACTTTATTCCATTAAAGTTGGAATGTTATTTTTGTTATATTAAATGTTGAAAATTATCTTCGCAGAGCCACCTTAAGCATTTACATAGAACTAACATAAAGTTTCGGATGCTACCATGGCAACTATAAAGTAACAAAGTGTATTTCTATTTAGTAAACTGCTGGCTATATAGTGACCACCAGAGGTGTGCAAATCCGATACGAATCGGATTCGTTCGGATTTCGGAAACAAAAATATTAATTTTGGATTGGATCGGATTGATAAATTTGTTTCGTAGTCGGATCGGTCGATATTCGAAATAAAATGAATAATTATCCAGAATCATGTATTTTGTCAGCTTCTTGACATGACTGTATTTCTTGCTTTTATATTTATTTGGTTAAATATTTCCACTTGAATGAGAAATTTATTTTATTAAAGGTGATGTAACAAACGCTTTGTTTACATTTTGAACTAAATGCTACAATTGTAAAATATGATTAGATATGATATTTGCTGCAGTGTTGGTGTAATGTACTCAGGTGAATAAGATGCTTGTGATGTTACCCGGTGTGGATATACACTCAGAGTAACATCACAAGCATATGATTAGATATATATTATACTAAATTTTTAACACCCTTCTGGTTGGCTATACTTGTAAATTAATACAGACTAGAGATTCAATTCAAGAAAGTTCGGAAGGTGCGAAATATTAATAACATTCCAATGGTCGGGTCCCGACCATTGGAATATATAGGCCTGCGCAGAATGTATGTGCAGAACGGCCGTTATAGCATCTTTAAAGGATACTTCAGATTGGATCAGAATTTTTTATCAAATATCGAACAAAACTTGGATCGGATTCAGATTAGACAATTTCGGATCGGATTGGATCTTAATTAGCTTATTGTGAGATTATGAACATCCGATCCGATGCACACCTCTACGTACTCATTTTCACTCAGTATTAAATTTGCGCGATTTAATTTCGCGCACCTTGTTGAGACTTATTCGCGCAGCTTTAAATTCGCGCAGGTAATTTTCAGTGTTCGTTCTTTTTGGTTTGTTTAATAGAGCTATTAACAGTTAACGCATTTACAATGAGTTTTTTTTATCAACAAATACTTCAATATTTGTCAAAATTTAATCAAAAAGCGATTAGGTGGCCTCAAAATTCTAGTACTGCACAAATTTTAATGCAAGCAAGGTATAATTATTATCCTCAACAAAAGTCATGGCAGCCATGTTGGTGTTCAGACAATGGCTACAAGTTTACAGGAGCTTTTGCACTATTATACTAACATCATAAAATATAAATACGTTTTTAATTGTTTAACTCGTATTGTACATACGTCTGACTCTCAAAAGGTCAGGTTAGGGGTTAGGATTAGAGAAAGGTTTGGAGTTGGTTTATCTTATAAAAAATCACCTTTAACTATAGTCACTATGTAGCTGGCAATTTACTAAATAGCCGGCTGTTATAAACACTTTGATAAAGTAAACAATGCTTTATACAAAAATATTTAAAAATATAAACCAAGACCGCTTTAAATGTGTTCGTAAACCCATGCAGTTATCAACGTGATTGTAGATGTTACTCAGTTCCTCTGCCGTATGGTTTTGTACTTGTGTGCAATTCAATATTGTAGAAGGCAAAGTTTATTTATAGATGAAATTATTCTTACCTATCTGCCCAAAGTTTTTGGACTTTTTCCAGTTTGAAAACGAAGTCATTGTTTGCATTTCCCAGTTCTGGACAACATCTGTGACAGCATCTTCTTGCAGCACATATCCGTATGTGTTTGAAATTTGGACATGAAAGCCCTTCGCCGTTATTAAGTTCGCCATTTTGGCGATGTATATTTTGAAATATGTAAACCAAAGATGACAATAAAGCTTGGTTAAAACTTTTTGTAGTTATAGATTTATAAAGCTAAATTATAAGTTTATATTTATAGCTGTAATTTGTATAAACGGAATCAGGCTAGAATATTGTGTGAATAATAAACGCGCCAAATTTGTAAATATATTTTAAATTTTACCGCAAAATTGCATTAACTTCCGTTTAAAATAATTGTTACATAAACTCAACCCATCCCACTCTCCAAAAATGATAGGGCGGTTTGCTGGATGGAAAATAGTCCTAACCTGACATTTGATACAGGATATCCCACAACTCATTGTGCGCATGGCCCTTGTCTTCTAAAATAGATACACCAAAAGGCGCTCCCAATCTATCGCTAGCTTGAAACTGTGTGAAGGCATTTAATAATCTGACCAAAAAATAATCATAAAAAATGGTTAAAATTCTTATAAGTGAATAATGAGATAGATTTTCTAAAAAAATTATATGCCAATTGCGATAATATAAAATTTTTATGGTTTACTGTAAGGGATTGGTCATAAAGTAATTACTAGAGGGGGGTGGAGGATAAATGAAATTTCAAGTACATATTTCCATACCCTCCCAAAAACCTATGGAAAAATTTTCATAACCCTCTTCAATGTAAGTGAAAATTTTCATACGCCCCTCTTCTATCATTAATTCTGCTTTAACATTTGTCTTGCGTTTATCTATACTTCGAAACCCTCCAGGTTGTGATAACTCTCTCACTTCTTGTAGTGGTAACCATATCCTCAACATTCGCAGTCTCCGATTCGTCACCAGTCTTTCCTGTTTCTGATTCTGACATACTAGCAATGGACTGAGGGTAAGAACAAACAGAAAAATTTGTTTTTGGTTTATTTCAAACAGAAAAATGTGCTTCCATTCAATGTGACATTTTCTCATCGGGTTCTAATGGTGTGAGCTTGCTAGCATTGACAATTCAGATGTATCAGATTTGTACTCCAAAAGTTCCACGCATACTGAATCCTACTTATCATCTGACATTGAGTCAGATTGAAACATATATACTTTGTGTTGATTTAAAAATAATTATAGTAAAAAGAACTATAATAACAATGAATGTATAGAGACTCTTTGAAATTGCTGTACCTATAGTACTATGTTTATTTACCCTAATCACTATAAATGTTTAAGTTATCAACTGCTCTCAGAGTACAATATAGGATACATTAAAAGCTTTAGGAAGGGGCTGTTCATATGAGCCCGGTAAAGCGGGCTGGACCACTTTGCCAGGCTAGTTTGTACATGCTTCATATGAGGTGGGCTGGCCCGGCAGGCATTATGTAATTATTTGCGTGCCCAGTGGCGGGAAATACAAATTTTTGTTTACATTATAATTATGCTATTACCAGCGATTACAGCAGCTTTAGGCAGATTATTTTCCTTAATTTTCCAAATGTATGCAGTAATTTTGGCTTGGAAGATATATGTTAAGCATAGAAATGATGCTATCATGGCATTTTTGTTGAGAAGGCGATCGGGTTTTTACCAAAAGTTGAAACATGCAAGACGACGACGACTGTTTTCGAAGAAGCGAAGATTTTGGGTTCAACCTGGCAGGACAGAAGAATGGTGGCAAAATATGATCAGTGGAGAAGCTCCAGAAGAAACGTGGAAAAACAATTTTCGTCTTCCGAGAGAGGTGTTTATGGAGTTCGCAGAGGAACTACGTCCATACATCTCACCAAATCTCTCGTCACCTAATTATAGAGCATTGTCAGCGGAAAAGAAACTTGCCCTAACATTGTATTATCTTAAAGATACCGGCTCTCTTGTGATGACTGCGAATACATTTGGTATTGCAATAAATACTGCTTCTGTAATCATTGCTGAAGTGTGTATGGCAATTTCAAAGAACCTAGGACCAAAATACATTCACATGCTAAGAAACCATGAAGTAATGCGAAATAAGGTGTCCGAATTTGAAACAAAGTTTGGAATGATTCAAGCAATGGGTTGCATTGATGGTACACATATACCAATCAAACGGCCTGTTGAAAACTCGCAGGATTATTTTTGCTACAAGCAGTTCAACTCCCTTAATGTACAAGCAGTTTGTGAATGTAAAGGCTTATTTATGGATGTTGAGTGTCTATGGCCAGGCAGTGTGCATGATGCCAAAGTGTTTGCTAATTCCTCTATTAATGACAAGCTGCAAAGTAACAAACTACCTGAAATCTTTCAGTCAGTTGTTCCTGGTTGTAACCTTGTACCAAATTACCTGATAGGTGACCCTGCATATCCCTTAACCCCATTTTGTATGAAAGAATATGAAAGCTGTAGAAGCAATGAACAGGTTGTTTTTAATCAAATGCTTAGGTCAGCAAGAAATCCAATTGAGTGTGCTTGTGGACGTCTCAAGGCACGATGGTCAATTCTCACCAGAAAAATGGACTTATCATTGAACATACTCCCAATAGTTATTTATGCTTGTTTTACATTGCATAATTTTTGTGAACAGCATAAAGCACATGTTGATCGTGAACAGGTACAAAAGCAAGTTGAATTAATAAAAGCAAATGAAGAGGAACATGGAAACTTAGCTGACCCAGTTTACTCTACCAACATTGATGAAGGCGACATTGTTCATAGGATTTTAACCTCCTACATTCGCACCTCATGACAGGATGAGCCCAGACTAAGTGTGTAATTTTACGCCCGTGGTCTCATGGGATATCTACCTCACATTCTGAGGTAGATATCCTAGCGTGCATTGCGTGTTGCTATCGCCTCACAGAATTTCTCTATTTGCTGCTTTCTATTCTATATTTCAGTGTATTTGAATACATATAGTCCGTTTAGTTAAATAATATTAAAAAACTCATTAATAATTCAGGATCGAGCAAAACACAAAGAAAAATCATAAGCGTGTCATGGTTTTAAAAGTGATAAAAAATCATGTTAATTTACATAAACTTTAGCTTTGATTTTCTCGGTTTAGACAAAGTTTATTTTAAAAATTACTTCGCCAATGAACTCGTATAAGGCCAAAATGCGTCTCGCGCAGATAAGGACTATACACAATTGTGTTAAATATTAATAATAATAACAATAACAACAGTCAGTTTGAGCGAAGGCAAAATGCATCTCACGCAAATACGGCCTTTTGACCATTTAGTTAAATAATAATAATAATGACAATAATTTCATATTAATCTGACACTGCAATCGAGCAACGAAAAATTCGTTGGCTCGAGCGGGATTTGAACTTGCATCTTCGGGTATCTAGACCGCCGCTCTACCTATTGAGCTATCGAGTCAACAGGGATTGGTAGCGAGTCTTATCCAATTTAAGTGCACGAAATATTGTCGTGACGACTTAACGCTTGTCTTTGAGGACGCGCAGTGTTTCAATTCTATTTCAGAACCATCCTCAGAGATAGGAAAACTAGTTTCATATTAATCTGACACTGCAATCGAGCAACGAAAAATTTGTTGGCTCGAGCGGGATTTGAACTCGCATCTTCGGGTATCTAGACCGCCGCTCTACCTATTGAGCTATCGAGTCAACGGGGATTGGTAGCGAGTCTTATCCAATTTAAGTGCACGAAATACTTTCGTGACGACTTAACGCTTGTCTTAGAGGACGCGCAGTGTTTCAATTCTACAGTATTTCAGAACCATCCTCAGAGATACGAAAAACCAGTTTCATATTATTCTGACACTGCAATCGACCAACGAAAAATTCGTTGGCTCGAGCGGGATTTGAACTCGCATCTTCGGGTATCTAGACCGCCGCTCTACCTATTGAGCTATCGAGTCAACAGGGATTGGTAGCGAGTCTTATCCAATTTAAGTGCACGAAATATTTTCGTGACGACTTAACGCTTGTCTTTGAGGACGCGCAGTGTTTCAATTCTATTTCAGAACCATCCTCAAAGATTGGAAAACTAGTTTCATATTAATCTGACACTGCAATCGAGCAACGAAAAATTCGTTGGCTCGAGCGGGATTTGAACTCGCATCTTCGGGTATCTAGACCGCCGCTCTACCTATTGAGCTATCGAGTCAACAGGGATTGGTAGCGAGTCTTATCCAATATTTCGTGCACTTAAAATTGGATAAAAAATATTTCGTGCACTTAAATTGGATAAGACTCGCTACCAATCCCTGTTGACTCGATAGCTCAATAGGT